TTATCTTCTTTTAATCAACTGAAAGCTGATTTGTTAAAAGCGTGCTTGGGGTGCATATATGAAGATTAACCGTTTGTTATTGAGTGTGATGCATCCAAATTTGCGATTGCAGCCATATTGAGTCAAAAAGGAAGGCCGGTTGCCTTTAACTCTCGAACACTCGGTAAGTCGGAATTAAGGCATCCGGCCGTAGAAAAAGAAGCGGCAGCGATTGTTGAAGCTGTAAGAAAATGGGGATATCTTTTGCATCGGAAAAAGTTTAAACTGATAACTGATCAAAAGGCTTTGGCATACATTTTTCGGAAAAATCATAAAAGTAAAATTAAGAATACTAAGTTACAATTGTGGAAACTAGAACTTTCCATATTTGACTATAAAATTGTCCATCGCCCAGGTGTAGAAAATGTGGCACCAGACGCATTGTCAAGAATTTGTGCTAGCAACGCTTGTTGTACAATGAGTCTAAGAGAAGTTCATACTCAATTGGGCCATCCAACCCAATTTTTATAGATTCGATGGGAGCCATCACTTGGTCAAAGCTACTCGGCCGTGGGAGAGAATTAGTATTGATTTTAAAGGTCCCGTCGCGGGAAAAAGGCGATATTTGCTCGTGGTATCAGACGAGTATAGTAGATTCCCTTTTGTATATCCATGTGCAGACATGACTGCAATCACTGTCACTAAATGTCTCGCATCATTATTTTCATTGGTTGGTCTACCGGAGTATGTTCACAGCGACAGAGGAACTTCATTTTTGGCTAATGAACTGAGAGAGTTTCTTGCAAGAAAGGGTATAGCGACTAGCAATACAACTCCTTATCACCCGAAAGGGAATTCCCAGTGCGAAAGGGCAAACCAGACCATATGGAAAACTATCAAACTAATGCTGTTATCAAGAAATTTGCCCGAGAGTGCTTGGGAGGAAGTTCTGCCAGACGCTCTACATGCGACAAGATCACTTCTTTGCACCTCCACTGGTACTACGCCACATAATCGCATGTTCAATTTTGAAAGACGATCTATGATTGGAAACTCCGTACCAGACTGGCTATTGAATGGCGGTAAAGTACTCCTTCGCAAGTTTGTACGAGCGAAAAGCGACCCGATTTGTGAAGAAGTTGAGCTTCTGGAAGCTAACACCAAATACTCGTTAATTCGTTATCCCGATGGTCGAGAATGTACGGTTTCAACGAGTGATCTGGCGCGATTCCCTGAACCTGTACAATCTGACTACAAGCAATTGGAATTTGAAAAGACTAAATCCATATCGGAATCAACTCCTCTAAGGATGTGCCATTCAGTTTTGAGAATCTCGATTCGAAGAAAGACGACACAATTCCTTCTGATGACTTAGTTGAAGTAGCAGATAAAACTTCTACTCCAATTAAGAAGGAAGAGATGCCTATTCGTCGGTCGAGCCGTTTCAAAAAGGCGCCTGATCGTTATGGAGACTGGGCCTCGTAATTGGGCGACTTTTGAATCCATTTATTTCATGTTAACGTTTCCATACTTGAGTTATTATTATACTTTTATTGTCTTACTTTTATCAGCTGGGGAGAATGTGGTGATTTATGTATTGAAATCTAGCAACGCCTAAAACAGCCACGACATTTGACCCTGCTGACGTATACTGTTCGTCCTTTAGTAGCATGGTGTTTTGATTTTGAAAGTCATTCTTTGGTTTGTGCTGCTTTAAGACTCTTAGTCGACGTTAGAGCTAATAAAAGTCTAGTATACAAGTTTGTTTCTTTCTGTATTAGGTTCGCCTCAACGTTAAAGACTGAGGCACTTTCCAAAATTGAAATGAAAACTATGAAAAAATCTGTGGTGCTCTTGGGGCCCCAAACACGTGTTTATTTTGCTCTAAAGTTAATCCAACCATTTGTCCACATAAGCACATAAGGTCGCATTTAGACAATAAGGTGACATAGTCTATTTCGATTGTGATGCCCCTATTGATCATTTTCGTAACTGAGTTCAATTGAATCTATTATTACCTCATGGTATGATTTTAGAATTATGTGAAATGTATCGTGGCGTCATAAACGATTTCTCAAGTTGTGGAAAATATTGGTACGTTACGTAGGCTAATAAACCAAATATACCAAATATCGTTCAAAAAACATGTGTTTAATTTACCTTGCAAGCAAAGCCTTTACGGGAAGCAGTGAACGTTTTTAATGAAAGACGATGCTTAATAGTTGCTCAAAATTGGGCGACGACGAATGGGCGGCAATCTTACTATATTTTAAACGAACTGTATTACTTCCGTGAAATTTTGTCATATCATTTTTTATTGAATACCGCTAAAAACACATCCGTGAGTAGCTCACTTTATGCTACAGAAAAGGAGTAACCCGAATGCAGCGAAAAATAGCATGTGACCACAATGCAGCAGATAGATGGGAGCTCCCGAAGTATGCGAACCAAGATGGCGGACATCAGAACGTAACATGGGTAACAGGTTAGGGTTAGGCGATAATTTTTTCCGATTTTCCCTATTTTAGTCCTATTATCAGTTCGAAGACTAGCCAAGAGCCTCCCGTAGTATTTATACTAAAATTATGGCCTAACCCTAACCTAGTACACATATTACATTCCGATGTCCGCCATCTTGGTTCGCATACTTCGGGAGCCCCGATAGATGTATATATTTATAGCTGCACAACAATATCTAAATCCTCCGCTGATTCTGATTGCCTATATCTTTATTCTCAATACTCTCGTACAGAAGTATGAAAAGTATTTGTGTATATACATAGGCCAAAGTGTAACTAAAAATAGATTCAATAGCGATATTTTCTAGTTCATGGTGAATTCGGATAACAGATGACAAAACTTCCATAGTTTCATAGATTGGAATATTATCTGAGATATGACTTATCGCTGACATTTACAAAGTCGTGAGTTAAACTTCGAATACATGTAGATCCGCGAATTTTCAGTCAAATTTTGATATTTTGTGTTTCCATCTTTCAATTACCTATTTAACCTTTGAGCCCCAAATGAAAAATTTGTTCTATTGTAGTTTTAGTAAATTTAAATAGATTTCAACAAAATAAAGATAAATATGTTATTATCATTAAAATTTAGGGAATAGTTTTCAAGAAACTTTGATTCTAAATTTTTTTTTTCAACGTTTGTTATCCATAACTTTTGATATAATTAATAGAAACCGAAGAAGTTGGTACCGTTCAATTGGCATTTCAGTTTAACATTAAATCCCTTATTATCTGCGATGCAGACTGGACATATCACGCAAACTGATTTTGAAATGCTAAAGAAATAAAAATATACTTTCCTTCCAAGCACTTGAGAATGTTCGACCGTCGTATCAAACTTACCTCCGTTTCTTAGACATTTTTACATTTTAAAAACCAAAATTAAATCGAACGACATACAACTGACGCTACCTATTACAAAACGCGCGACGTATAGCAGCACTTGTTCCCACATAAATCTGTGTGGAGACAATAATACATTTAGGATTCATTTTTGTTGTATGTATTAAATTCCGGCCGTTCGAGGGCCGCAATAAATTAGCTCGCGGGCCGCAGTTTGCCGACCCCTGTAATCTGAACGTTGTAAATTTGACTGGCAGCCCTAGCGTCAACGGGAATAATGTTCAACAAATCAAGGAATCAAACGAAGTGCATGACAGGCGAAATCAACAATCAAGACACGTGCCCGCATTTTCTATATAATTTGTGCTGTAACAACGTGCTCAAGTCGGTTCTTTGCGTTATATTACATTTATTATATTAGAGAATCTCTGACTTAGGCTCGTATGCCCTTTATTAGTTGTATACCCAACTTATGGTCTGGTATACACTTGGGTATACAGTATACCCGGTTGAACAGCACTGGATTAGACTATAGTCACTATATTGAAAAGCCTTGAAAGGACTTGTACTTTATACAAAACTGGTATTTTAATTCCCTTCCAAACATATTGTTCTGGGAAGCTGAAACATTTAAATTTTGTCGCCTCACTATCTATGACTTTGGACGCCAATTTCAAATTACTACTGCCCAACGAATCTCAATATGCAACAAGTCTAATTATTGTGTATGTGAATACGGTAAAAAGTCAATACTGCCAATGTTGGACTTATCATTGCGCAGTTAATATATAATAGTTTTGACTGGCTATACTAGCGTTACGATATCTGTGACATGAAATCTTGAGATCAAAGCATTATTTGTTAGGTTACACGAGACTTTTTAAGAACAAGAGAGCTATGCTCAAATATATGGACACGTAGCGCCACCCAATGGCAATAATTTTGATGACGTCATAGCGAAAAAAAAATGATAGCCTTCTGGAGAAAAAATTTATCTTTAACCACTAAAAATTTCAAAGCAATTGGTCCAGTATTCGAAGAGAAAATCGATTTTTTAATGATAATGACGAAAGAAAATAACAATAACAACAAAATGTTGAAACGATCGTTATGGCCACTAAACGTGTCCAATAACCATATCTCAAAGGCCTATACTAACAAAATTTGTAACGGATATTTACAAGTCCACGTGAACGTTTGGGCCTACATAAAACAAGGAATCGAGGCAAGTTGAAGGAATAAATAAATATCACAATGCTACAAGAATGCAAAACGAGCAACGTTCAGTCGCGGATATGAATAAGTGGCTTGGGATAAAACATATTTGTGAATAATTTAGAAGAGCAAGCATGAGCCATAAATTTTATATTGTTAAGGTTACTTTTCAAAGAAATCTTTGTCACATTAAATAGCGTACCTTTTAACTGATAGAATATCAGAACACATTTTCAAATTAATTATAATTTAATTATACAAATATTTTTGAATACTAAAAACTCATTAATTGGTTCCTAGTCTTTTTTCAGCTTGTAATATTTATTTTGATAAATACTAATATAATGCGCGCGTGTATAGAAAATGTAATGAAATGAACTCTAGCGTGATTACTTTTTAATTATAAAACAAAAATTCATCAAAAATATTCTAACTTCTTACTTTCAAACCGAAATCAGTGGCTCCCTGTGCAAATGCATTCAGTTTTTCACTCGTCAGATCACAGGTATCCAATTGCACTACATCTGCTTCTGTAGTTGCAGCAACTTGAGAAAATTTATGAAATGTTTCCGACTCCATGGTCTTGTCTGATATGACATAGTGACTGATCTGCAAAATTAATAATAAAGTTACTATTTTGAGTAAAAAAGTATTCATTCACATTTTCCTCTTACAAAATATCCACCTTCGCAATCAGTTGAATTTTAGGCAAAAATCTTCAGTTCAAATGCCATCCATACTCACTACCTCACCCAGAGTGTAGTAAGTTGGGTTTAGGCAATGTCAAACAAAACAGATTTCTCCAAACTATATTAGCTCTTAAACTAGAAGTGACTGCTTGTGATCAAGTAAAAAAATAATAAAATAGAATTGAATTTATGCAAACAAAAAAGAGAATTCGTGAATTTCTGCAAATGTGTTTCATAACGGACCGGTGAGGTCTTACTGACAATATCGGTTGATCTGCATTTTTATCTAATTTCAATTTATTCTAATTTGTTGGAGTGTATATGTAATGGCCATTGATTTACAAAGTACATTATTGGCACACGTATCCTTGGGTTTATGTCCACTAGGTGTTGCGAGAAAGCAGTCACCTTCTGACTTTGGGATACAACCTCGTGCTATTCACTTGCGTTCTTGGCGTATTGCGCTTTAGGTCAATTGCCCCGTCCGCAGTTCTTAGTTAGTTCTGGCTCTCCCTACATGGATTGTATTTGTAATTGATTCGTGTTTCTTTAGGTGTAACAATTGTTTGTTTTCTTACTGTTTAGAATTTAGTGGTACTGCATTTGTTTATACCCGAGTGACACTAAAATTAATTGCCGGCTTTTTCGTACCTCACCTACTATTTGGCGAGTGTTATTAGGTTCGACCTGATTTTGCAATCCCTGAGCAAATGTTAACATTTTCCAAGTTATAATACACTTGTCTGTATTCAGTCAAGGTATTGTTTATATGTATTTGGAGAACACAGGCTGTGATATTCGTTTGTGAGGGTGGCGTCCCGTCAGAGCATAATAGGAAAAAGACCGCGTCCACAAGTTAAATTTTAGTGTCAACATCTGTGGCACACTGTGATCCAAATGGACACCGTTTAAGAGTTGGCACAGCGTGACCACCACTACAGTATATGAATTGACAAAATTGGTTGTATGCTTATAATTAAACTTTTCATAATTTACATTCGCCTTAGTGGTTGGTTACTTGAGGTCAGGTCGTTATAGCCCTTTGCCCATCGAAATACGTCTACAACTACTGCGGCTCTAAATTGGTTATATTTCATGCCTCTTCCAGCCATTTGTCTCCACAAATGGGCAATGCATAGGGCATGCATTTAGCCTAGCAGTGTTTTTTAACGGGCATAGAGTGAGTTAGAATATTTTCAAGCACTTGTTTCAAACAATTATCAAATAGAATAGCACAATCGTAAGGTTCCTAAAATTAGGCATACTTATAAATGTCATTGTTAAACTTTTGAAGAACATGCCACAAATGAATCCAGTTTTTCAATTGTTGGAACCAAATTATATGATGTACACATCCCCTTGTGTATTTAACCACATTTAAGCAATACCTAGAAGTTGAAGCAAACCAATTTGCTTGACAATTAGTGCGGCCTGTTTGGTTCACGAATTTTTTAGTTGTTCTGCGAAAGTGTTCATGCCAGTGCTCTCGCCTTGTTATCAAAGTCCCGCAGTTACCGACAAGACTATATTTTGTTACGTTTTGAGTGTTGTTCATTCGTCGTGATTTCCCACCGATGTTCAGACCAAAAAACAATCATGCTTTTAGATTGTGATTCATCGTCACGACGTTTTGTTAATACATGCTTTAACTACAATCTTATGGCTAACATCATTTACTCCGTTTTATTCTGCACTTGGTAAATTTGATAAATATTTTTAGATAAATATCTCACCATGACAACAAAACTAGCAATTAAACGAAACAAAAACGAAAATTGTTTGTTGCAATGTCACATTTCTTTTAATGGTACCGTCTAAGGACCTCCTGAAGTATGCGCATCAAGATGGCGCACAACCTGACTGAGGTACCCCCGTCCAGTATCTAAGTAGGACACACTAGATTGTTGAAAGGAAAATATTTGTTAGTGCACTCTTTGAGTTGTTTTACTTCCTATTTCGAGCCCTTATGGTTATGCATCTTCAAGTGCGAAGAGTAAAAACCGATATGCACGCTTACATGTGCGCATGTAACCTATTTTCCTCGTGGTACATGCAAATGTTATTGATGTGATTATGCTGATAATTTACAATTCAATAGACATTCAAAGCATTTCATCAACACTATTCTAACTTCTTACTTTTGAACCAATATCAGTCGCTCTCTGTGAAAATGCTTCCAAAACCTCTGATCTTGGTTTTTGAATTGGCATAGCCAATGTGACAAGAAAAGTTTAGATAGTTTTAAAAGACAATAAGATATACCCAATGTCCAAGCTGTAAAGATCTTGAACAGATTTTTCTACAGCTTTAATAAGAATGCCGTTGTTTTCGTTTGCTTTTTTTAGTATTAAAAAGAATATCGACCAGTTGAGGAGCGGACTTTGGACGCCACTATTCCAAAATTTGAGTTGCGAATTCACTTATTTGTTTAATATATTTTGCGTGTGTCACAGGATGACAGCATAATAACAATTTTTTCAAACTGTTGGCACTGTTTCGGACAAAAAAAAACTAATTACCGACGTCCGCGTGGCACATGCCCAGAAGAATTCTTATGCGATTTGCCGAAGTATAGTTTACCGAAATAATATCGATTTTCACGGACTAAATACTTACGTCACGCTGACGAAAATTATCCCTGTCCAAATCGCACGCTTTATGAGCTACTTTTTCGGTCCTCGGAAGAGTTCACACAGGCGGTCGGGTAAAGGTTTCGCCTTTGTCTTTGTCGTCTGACCCACTTGAATCATAACGTTAAAGACTGAGGCACTTTCCAAAAATGAAATGAAAACTATGAAATAATCTCTGGTGCTCTTGGGGCCCAAAACACGTGTTTATTTTGCTCTAAAGTTAATCCAACCATTTGTCCACATAAGCACATACGGTCGCATTTAGACAATAAGGTGACATAGTCTATTTCGATTGTGACGCCCCTATGGATCATTTTCGTAACTGAGTTCAATTGAATCTATTATTACGTCATCGTATGATTTTAAAATTATTTTAAATGTATCGTGGCGTCATAAACGATTTCTCAAGTTGTGGAAAATATTGGTGCATTACGTAGGCTAATAAACCAAATATACCAAATGTCGTTCAAAAAACATGTGTTTAATTTACCTTACAAGCAAAGCATTTATGGGAAGCAGTGAACGTTTTTAATGAAAGACGATGCTTAATAGTTGCTCGGAATTGGGCGACGACGAATGGGCGGCAATCTTACTATATTTTAAACCAACTGTATTACTTCCGTGAAATTTCAAAGAAGTAACCCGAATGCAGCAAAAAATAGCATGCGACCACAATGCAGCAAATAGATGTATATATTTATAGCTGCACAACAAGATCTAGATCCGCCGCTGATTCTGATTGCCTATATCTTTATTCTCAATGCTCTCACACAGAAGTATAAAAAGTATTTGTGTATATACATAGGCCGAAGTGTAACTGAAAATAGATTCAATAGCGATATTCTGAAATTCATGATGAATTCAGATAACAGATGACAAAACTTCCATAGTTTCATAGATTGGATTATTATCTGAGATATGACTTATTGCTGACATTAACGAAGTCGTGAGTTAAACTTCGAACACATATAGATCCGCGAATTCTTAGTCAAATTTAAAAATTTTGTGTTCCATTTTAAGGGAGTGGTTTCGATTACCTATTTCACCTTTGAGCCCCAAATGAAAAATTTGTTCTATTGCAGTTTTGGTATATTTGAATAGATTTCAACAACATAAAGCTAAATATGTTATTATCATTAAAATTGATGGAATAGTTTTCAAGAAAATTTGATTTAAATTTTTTTTTTTTAACGTTTATTATCCATAAATTTTGATATAATTAATAGAAACCGAAAAAGTTGGTACCATACGATTGGCATTTCAGTTTAACATTAAATCCCTTATTATCTGCGATGCAGACTGGACATATCACGCAAACTGGTTTTGAAATGCTAAAGAAATAAAAATATACTTTCCTTCCAAGCACTTGAGAATGTTCGACCGTCGTAGCAAACTTACCTCCGTTTCTCAGACATTTTTACATTTTAAAAACCAAAATTAACTCGAACGACATACAACTGACGCTACCTATTACAAAACGCGCGACGTATAGCAGCACTTGTTACCACATAAATACGTGTAGAGACAATAATACATTTAAGATTAATTTTTGTTTTATGTATTAAATGTCCGGCCGTTCGGGGGCCGCAATAAATTTGCTCGCGGGCCGCAGTTTGCCGACCCCTGTAATGTAAACGTTGTAAATTTGACTGGCAGCCCTAGCGTCAACGGGAATAATGTTCAACAAATCAAGGAATCAAACGAAGTGCATAGCAGGCGAAATCAACAATTAAGACACGTGCCCGCACTATCTATATGAATTGTGATGTAACAACGTGCTGAAGTCGGTTCTTTGCGTTATATCATATTTATTATATTAGAGAATCTCTGACTTAGGCTGTATACCCTTCGTATACCCTTTATCAGTTGTATACCCAACTTATTGTCTAGTATACACTTGGGTATACAGTATACCCGGTTGATAGCACTGGATGTCGGGCTTATCATTGCGCAGTTAATATATAATAGTTTTGACTGGCTCATACTAGCGTTACAATTTCTGTGATATGAAATTTTGATATCGATGCTATTAACTGCAATTTTCTGACAATTCCGTGGACTTCATTTGTTTGGTTACAGAAGGCTTTTTAAAAATATCCATATCTCAAAGGCCTATACTAACAAAATTTGAAACGGATATTTACAAGTCCACATGAACGTTCGAGCCTACATAAAACAAGGAATTGAGGCAAGTTAAAAGAATAAATAAATATCACAACGCTACAAAAAAGAAAACGAGCTACGTTCAGTCGCGGATATGAATAAGTGGCTTGAGATAAAACATATTTGTGAATAATTTAGAAGAGCAAGCATTACCCACGATTTCCCTATTGCTAAGGTCACTGTTTAAAAAACGCTTTGTCACATTAAATAGCGTACCTTTTAACTGATCGAATATCAGAACACATTTTCAAATTAATTGTAATTTAATCATACGAATATATATTTTGATAAATATTCTTTTAAAGCACGCATGTATAGAAAATGTAAGGAAATGAACTTTGGTATAATTCCTTTTTTAATATAAAACAAAAATCCATCAAAAATATTTAAATATTTATTTATCTATAGTATCTACTAAACTTGTGGAGATTTTTTTGGGATTCAAAATCGCATGAAAATGTTGTATAAAAACACAATGAGTACTAAAACGAGAATATCGGTTGGAAACCGAAGACTTATCGATCGATAGTTAGGGGATCCCCCAAAACAGAAACTGCAGTTTCGATTCATCCGCTCTTGTAACTTGCGCATTGCGCACTGCGCATCGCACACACACACTCGGCGGGATTCAAAATTCTCTCGCTTTACAAAAATCTAGATCACTATATCAATAATTGATTGATAACTCGCTAATTATACGACATAATTCGCCCAAAATCAATAGGCTTCTGGTCCGAGATAAGATGAATGCACATGCAAAATCTGGAGCAGATTCAATCTCGCTTTCGTGAGATATCGCGTGCATCTAACAGACACACACACAGACACACAGACAGACAGACAGACAGACAGACAGACAGACAGACAGACAGACAGACAGACAGACAGACAGACAGACAGACATACAGACAAATACCTATCAATAAACTTACCGATCTTAAGATCGATAAGTAATGAGTGATGTTAGTTGTTAAAGTTGTATCCGATACCGGGTTTTCTTCATTTTCATTTACTTTCTTTTCTTTCAGTGTGTGTATAAATTTTGTTTGAGATCTTTAGTACATGTTTTATAATTAACATGGGCCTAATTACACGCTTGATTGCTGCACGTGATTTTCTTGGATCGTTCGAGCCACTTTCAAAAAAATCAAGAAAAAATGAATTGCAGATATTTGACTTGTAGTTTGACAACGTGTTTTTATTAGAAAGTTTCATTTGACAATATCGAAATCTTGAACCTGTACTAGTTTTGGCGTTTTCGAAGTATGCGCACCAAGATGGCGCACTATCTGAACTCTAACCTGGTACACATACTACATTCATGTTGTGCGCCATCTTGGTGCACATATTTCTGTAGCTCTTTAGTTTTTATTAACATGACAACACCTAATCTAATCCGAAGTGCTTCATTTTGGCAAAAAATTGAGCAATGAATTATGTGTGCCCCTGTCTACTTTTCACTATTTTCATGTGACAAATTTCTAGATAAACCTTAGCCTGCTACATTATACGCATCAACGTTATTTTGAAAAACTTCCAACCTATTAATTTTATAAAAATAAGTAAATAAACTGATCTTCGATAAACTCCAAAAGGCAATATTGTACCCGAACGCAAAATTTATTTCTTATATATCTCGGTGAGTATTAATAGTAATTAATTTTGTATAACATTTCTGATATTTCATTAAATTCACTAATTTTATTAAATATGTTGCAAATCTATTTCTCTGCTTAAGAAAATCCACTGACCCAAATTTGCATTTTCTATATTTGTTTGTTCATGCCGATCTTTCCAAATTTTCGTTCAGACAAATTATTTTTAAAAATTAAAAAAAATGCGCACTGTGTTTTACAAAACAAGGGGCACGAAATTTCCGTCGATAAATTTCATTCGTCTTATTAAAATCCTACGATCTGCCCTTTTTTACGCCTAATTACGAGGATTGCTTGTTTCGTGGCGCGATTACGACTTTCAGCTCTCTCTCCATGTCGGACAAATTTTCGAGGTGATGATGAAATTATTAGAATTTTTTATTACTTAAGCTGGAAAAACGATGTAAACTGCGCTACTCACTCAAATTTTGGTTATTTCGATAAAAAAAAGAATAAAGAACTCATACATTTTATTCTAGCAGCTTTTATGAGCAAATAAATATTCTGATTAGAATGATTTCAAGGCAATATAACACAATTATCCAATAAAGTAGCACAGCCGCAACGCAAAACGCAAACAATTACGTTCAATCACGAATATGAAAAAGTGATTTCGACTAAAGATATTCGGGATTATTGTGCAATAGCATTGGCAATGATTTACATGCTGATCAGGTGGTACTTTAGAATGCTTTGTCACATTAAATAACGGAGTTTCCAACTGATAGAATTTCAAATAAATTAAATAACGCACTTTTTACCGTATAGAATTTTAGAATACGTTTTCAACATATTTATAACTTAATCACACAAATATTTCTGAATACAAAAAACGCATTATCGTTCTCCACAGTCTTTTTTTTTCTACCTTGCATTTTATACTTTTAATAAATACTCTTTTAATGCGTGCGAGTAAATAAAATACACTTTAGTAAGATTCATTTTGAACATTTAATAAGTATTAATTATTTACCAAAAATATTCTAACTTCTTACTTTCAATCCGAAATCAGTGGCTCCTTTTGCAAATGCATTCAATTTTTCTCTTGTCAGATTACAGTCGCTAAACCGCAATACATCTGCTCCTGTAGTTGAGGCAACTTGAGCAAATTTATGAAATGCTTCGGACTCCATGGTCTTGTCTGATAGGACAAATTGATTGATCTGCAAAATTATTGATAAAATTACTATTTTGAGCCAAGAGGTATTCATTTGCATTTGCGTTTAGAATACGCTGCCACCGCATCTCTGATTACTCTCCCTGGGTTCGCAGGTTCGAATCCATGCTTCCGAAAACAAATAATTAACTAATCCCATACCCGACTTGAAATGGTAACCAGACGAGAGGCAGTGGTTCGCCATATGGTAGAGACGTCCTATAGGCTTTCCTCTCCCCCGGGACAAATATGTAAATCCTAATCCTAATTTCCCTCCCCGCCATTCGTCTTCACATATGGGTGAAGAACAAACACCATATATGTTAAATAAGTTTTACAACTGAACTTCGATTTAAAATGTTCATCAATAACGGTCCTTGAAACGTGATATTCATCTGATTTTAAATTTGCGTAATAGAGAACTCTTTGTAAATATTAATTTTTGTTCTCATCAAGAATAAAGCGAAAATGTATAATTTGCTTTATGCAATATCAAATTCATTGCTCAAACATCGAGCGATATCCATTCCATGCATCAACGTATATAACATGCTTGGATTGCCAAGGAGTCACGCAATCAATACAACAAAGCGAAGTAATTGGAAATACGAAGAGATTTGAATGCTTTAAAAGCTATTATTTGTTTGTTATTGAGCGTTTTGTAATAACACTCCATACTGTTTAAATTCATCAACAATATTTTAGCAGTAAATTTCGTTCGTCTTATAACACTCATAAATAAACGAATCTTTACGGCCAAACTTTACGCCCAATTACAACTTCTAGCTCTCTCTCCATGTAGAATGAATTTTCAAGTTGTTGATGTTGAAATTTTTAGAAACGTTCATTACTTAAGACGTATAATGAGCTGCCTTATAGCACATAATCAAAATTTGGATCCCTCTTTATTCGTCTTTTTTTTTATCAAGATCGAAAATATATGTTTATTCCCACGTAGTAAAGTTTACTTTTAAAAATAAATAAATAAAAAAAATTCCGTACTTTACACGATAGAATTTCAGAATCAGATCCTGCTCTAGACCAGGGGTCCGCAACTACTTTTTAGCGTGACCCAAAATTTTTTTTTCTAACTTCTCGCGACCCAAGCATTTGATAAACATGTAATTAGTTATCGATTTTTAAGACTATTGTCGACGCTAGCATTTTTCTTGCACAAAATTATATGAAACTTATCACATAAAATTGTGAATAATAGCGTTTCTTAGGACTAATGCAAATTATAAGCTTTGTGTATAATACACAACATATCAAATCGAGGTTTAATTTGGGAGACGGCAACTCGAAGATAATTTTCTACCTCTAGCCTTGAACTGTAATTGTATTTTTATGTATGAAAACGTTGATAGGCGGGAAAAAATGTTTTGTTTTTTGATAAATGTTGGATGCTTTGCTGTAAGATACACGTAAAACCAATTTTTATACATTATTCGCTGTTGTTCCGCTTATATGTATGATTTGAGTGATGTATTTCTATCCGATGAGGGTGAGAAGATGAGTCTTTTGTTGGGCGTTGATCCCCACTGCTATAAGTGCTCCGTACGGAGCCTCAAGGCTCCGCGAGCTATTCGTTCACTTGAAAAGCTGACTTGGTTAATTTTGTATCTGTAAAGAAGCATTAACGTCACTAATAAAATTTGACGACGATGGTGTCGAAATGTTGTAGTGACTCAAATATATATTATTATCTATAACTAAGGGCGCAGCAACCATGGTTTTATTAAAAGGGAGGGGGTTCAGAATATAAAATTCCAATGTCAATGATCAATGTTGTAACAGAGCTCAATTGAATTCAATATTACTTCATGATATCCATTCAAAAATTATGTCAAAAGGTTTGGTGGCGTCATAAACGAATTCTCAAATTGTGGGAAATACGAGTATTATCATTGGAATTGTTTGTAATATACGGGATTACAACGGAAACATATTCGAAAATAACAAGACAAATTTTATTATTCTAAGATTCGTTTTTGCTTAAATAAATTGGTATAGTTACTTTTCAAAAAAAAAAATAGTAATTTTTGTTAAGTTTTTAAGAGTGAAGTTTAAAAAAAATTCATTTATTCGACTGTATTTAATTTATAACCTTGTAAACAGAAACTACAGTAATTACGACAAGAATAAATATCATGAGTATAGAGTAATTAAATGTCACTTTTAAATATTATTGAACTAGTTAACTTCTTGAACAAGCATTTAAAAATTAGAAACGACTTTAGAATGAATATCAGTTCTAAATTATACTAAGTGTCCCCTTAGCTTTGACTAATTGTTGAACTGCCAGAATATTGTTCCTGAAAGCTGGAATATTTCAATATTTGTTGCCTCACTACCGTTGACTTTGGACGGCAATCTCAAATTACTTTTGCGCAACGAATCTCAAAATGCAACAAATCTAATTATCACGATGTTATATGCTGAAAAGTAAATACTGCCAATGTCGGGCTTATCATTGCGCAGTTATTATATAATAGTTTTGAGTGGCTCATACTAGCGTTACAATTTCTGTGATATAAAATTTTGAGATCGAAGCTCTTACCGTGGACTTCATTCATTTTAAGAATAACCATATCTCAAAGACCTATACTAACAAAATTTGTAACGATTATTCACAAGTCCACATGAACGTTCGAGCTTACATAAATCAAGGAATCGAAGCAAGTTGAAGGAATAAATTAATTTCACAATACTACAAAAATGCGAAAAGGGCAACGTTCAGTCGCGGATAAGTGGCTTGGCATAAAACATATATTTGAAGAATAATATGAATAATTTGGAGAGTAAGCATGAGCCATGATTTACATATTGCTAAGGTTACTAAGGTAAACAGATTGCTAAGGTAAGAAAGCTTTGTCGCATTAAATAGCGTACTTTCTAACTGATAGAATTTCAGAACCCATTTTCAAATTAATTATAATTTAATCAAACAAATATTTCT